AGACCTCACTATGAGGATGTCCTAATTATCTATGCCAAACTAAGGTGCCATTAGCACTAAGATTGTTAGCTTGAGATAAAGCGGCTGCAGGTTGGGATATAGGATTAGAAAAATTACTAAACATACAAATATTAGAAGAATTATTGAGTCACAATGAATCATAAGCATATAAAGGGTTAGAAGAAGAATGTAAGTTAACTGAATCAAGTAAGTTTTCAGAATTGTAATAAAAAACCAGATGAGCAGTATGATGAAGTGCTTTAGTTTGATTTTGTGCAACAGAATTGTATTGATTAGTAGGAGTAGATTGCAATGCATCAGTCTTAAACAGAGTGTTAGAATTATGACTACATGACAACACATCATCATTATGCAATTTTTTAGTTTGATTCGTGGATATAGAAGTATATGGAGCAGTTGGAACAGAATGCAATATAGCAGAAGTACATTCAAAAGTATAGATCATCAGCATTATTCAAATCTTCAGTTTTATTTATTGAAAAGGAAGTACATTGACCAGTAGTAGACTTGTTGACATTTGACTTAACAAGACATGGGTTGATAGGAGGATTATTGGTAGGAAATAAAACAGGATTGGTATTAACAAGAATGTCTCTATACTTATTGATGTTCCTAAATTAAGTTGAATTATCTAATTGACGATGTGGTTTATTAGAAGGACATTGAGCAGTGGATTGAAGACTAGCTATTGAACCATTGATTGGTGAAGACTTTGGAGACAAGGTAGAAGTCAAGTTCAACTGATACAAGCCAGCCTTAAGATCTCCCTACAGTAGCACCTGTTTGGTAACTTTGTCCTTCACCACACAACATTTAGCAAAAAATTCAACCACAATATTATTATCCTTTGTAAATTTAGAAATGCTAAGTAAATTTTTGGTTATATGTGGAACACAAAGAACATTTTTCAGATATAATGATTTGGACTATAATGAACTAGGCAAAAGAGAAAAACCAGTATGGGAAATATCAAGAAAACTCACCACTGCCAACCTAAAGTTGTTCAGCTCTATCATAGCTCCTTCTTGCACTCAATTGGTTCAAGTTAGAGGTGACATGGTCTGTGGCACTAGAATCCATGCACCAAGGTAAATCTTAGATTGTAGGTGGTGTAGTGTGAGTAGGGATGCCAAGAGAGAGAGGATGTTGAGCAGCAAAGTAGGCTTGATTGGGAGCAGGGGTAGGTACAAGAGTAGGTGAATGTGTTAGTTAACTGGGCAGTTTGTATCCTAAAGATGCAAGAACAAAATTTTGGACATGCTACTGTTGTTAATAGCTATTATGAGAGTCATACTTCTGATGTCCACTGTGAGAAAGATTGAATGGATAGGTTGAGTCACCAATGCTTTGTCCTCCAAAGGATGGGGGATGGCCATTATATATGGAGTTGTATCTGTGGTAGCACTGAACAACAGTGTGCCCAACCTTATTACAGACTTGACATATAGGTTTGCCCTTTGGATTTCCTTTACCTCTTCCTCTACCAAAGGGGGGAACACCAAATGGTCTATAGTTCTGAAAAGGAACTCCATATTGTCCTATGTTGGTTGAGGCATGAAATTGGTCACTTAATGTGTGTAAGTTTGGTACAGGTAATCCATAATAGGAAGGACATTGTTGAGGCATCAAAGGATTGGAAGTATTAAGGGCAAATGGTAATGAGGTAAAGTTATTTGGTGAGTTAAAGGATCCAGCAGTTGAAATAGTAATGGATGATGCTGGAACTGGTGTAGGTAAAGGATTAGGGTAAGGTGTATTGGTTCTTGGTGTACTAACTGCAACCATATGAAGAAAACTATTTGGAAAATCAGCTAAATTAAATTTCTCAATCCTCATTTCACACTTCTGAAGCAAATATTGTGCTTCTTGTAAAGTAATTAAGTCAAACTTAGATTCAGTGCGTGAGGTGAGATTAACTATCATAGCATCAAATTCAGGTCCAAGACCATCCAAAATAAACTAAAATAAGTCTTCATCAAAAATCATTTGGCCACTAGTTGATAAACTCTCGACTATCCCTTTCATTTTCTTAACATAATCACTAATACTCAGATTTCCTTTTTGAGTTGTTTGAAGCAGAGTTTTTAGATGAAGACCTATAGATTTAGAGTCATTCAGAAATTCACTCTCAAGAGTTAACCAAATAGATGTAGAGGTTTGACATTTTGGCACATAAGTGAACATGCATTCAGGGATTGAGGCTAATAGCCAAGTTACCAGAAATTTATCAGGTCTTTTCCAGGAAACATAATCGGGATTAATTTTTTCTTTTGACCTAATTTCTCCTAATTCACTCAATATTTCATGTTCTAATGAAATTAAAGGTGCAGGATAAGTAACAAGACCTGTTAGGTGGTCTTCGAGCTCATGAGCTCCCACAACTGAGAGAATTTGCGATTTCCAGAAGCGGTAATTGTCTTTATAGTTGTCTCTGGTCAACTTTGGAGTGACAACCTAAAGGCTTGACTAAAATGCTGAATTGAAGGAGTTGGATGAGCTCTGAATCATCTTGTTAGAGTTTGTTCTAGACAGATTAGAATCTGAGATCGTTGTTATTGACGTGAGTGAAAGGCTCTGATACCATGTGAACTTTGTGATTTAGGGAGTTAAAAGAGAGAACCGAAAAATAAAAGAAACAATTCTCTTATACTTTGATTGAGAAAAATAGATTACAAGATACAAAGAGTACTGACTTTATATGTTTTCAGTCAGTTAAACAGTATTAGTGTAACACCCCACTTGAGGTACGTAGTTAAGATTTGATGAATGGTTCGAATGTTTATCGATTTATCCTTAGTTGAGTCTGTATGTTGTTATTATTGATTGGTTTATCCTTGGATGGAAAGGTGTATTGGTTTGGTTGAGTGTTTTTCTTAAAGGTTAGTATGATTTAGCAAAATTTTAGGGTTATAGTCTTCGCCAGGGCGAAGAAGTTTTGTCGCCGCGGCGAAGAGGGAGTGCTTCAACCCGGGAGGCCTCTGTGAGTTTTCGCCGAGGCGAAGAAAATAGCTTCGCCGCGGCGAAGACTCGGCTGAATGTTTCCCTTGAGTTTTTGAGATTTCTTTCTTTTGAGACTCAATGACCATTCTACCCCTTTTTAGCAGGAAAAGTGGGGAGTGAATTGTAAGAAAAATTCTTGGAGAATAGTTTGATTGGGGTTGTGTTTGCAAAGAATGAAAGGTCTTAAATGAATTTCAAAGAGTGAGTAGGGTATTTTGGGAAAGTGAAAATATGTGATATTAAAGGTTAGCTTTAGAAACCCCTTCATTTTGTTTTCTCACCACCGCCTCTTTCATCCCCTATTTTCTCTCAATTTTTTCAATCTCATACCCCCTGAAAGGCGTATGAGATTGAAAAAAAAAAAAAAAAAGAATAGAAAGAAAAGAAAAGAAAGAAAAATGAGAATTTGAAATAGAAATTTGATAAGAATACAAGAGAATTGATGAGTAATGCACGGGGATGATAGCGTAAGAGACTGTTTTACTTACTAGGCATCTTTGTGCTCACTCCGTTGTTTCTTTGTTGTACAGGGGTAGGTGAGGACTTGGTCGGATGGACGTCGGCAAGCGGGGAGATTTGGCTGCACTGTCCCTTGTTTCGTTTTGTTTCAAAAGCCCTTGTACATATGATGTTTTGTTTTGTAACGAATGTGATTATTAAGTAAAGAAATTTTTGGGCCCAACTTGTTTTGATAAATATGCTATCTTTTTATTAATCGATATTCGAATTTGGTAGAAAGAAAGTAGTTGTTACATTTTTGGTATCAGAGCAATGATTTTGGGATGGGACAGTGGTCATTCTCGCCGCTACGACGAGTCTTATCCGACCACTATAGTTAATCCTTTTCTATTAATGAATTATTTGAAGTTGATGTGAAAATGGTTATTTTTGAGATGAGACATAGAAAAAAAAAGAAAAAAAACCAACAAACATCAAAAAAAAAAACAAAAAAAAAAAAAAAAAAAAAAAAAAAAAAAAAAAAAAAAAAAAAAAAAAAAAAAAAAAAAAAAAAAAAAAAAAAAAAAAAAAAAAAAAAAAAAAAAAAAAAAAAAAAAAAAAAAAAAAAAAAAAAAAAAAAAAACAAAAAAAAAAAAAAAAAAAAAAAAAAAAAAAAAAAAGAAAAAAAAAAAAAAAAAAATAATAGAAAGAAGGGTAAGGGTGTGATGAATGAGGGAGAACCCTCTAACCCGCCGGAACAAACTCCCCTTGCCTTTGATGCGACAATGATTCGAACCATTGTACAGCAGGTGTTAGCAGAAAGTCAGGGGAGAGTTGCACCGGAGAGAAATGAGACCCCTAGTAGTGTACCGCCCGTAAGGCAAGAGCCAGAAGGGCCGGTACCTCAGATAGTACAGAATCGGGTGGATCCGATTCAGGGGCTTGCAAGTCAGCATCGGCCACCAGAATTCAGGGGTACTAGAGACCCGTTAGAAGCTGAAGAGTGGTTTAAGTCTGTTGAGCGGACTGTGGCCCTGTTTCCCATGAATGATAGAGAGAGGATCAGCTATGCCAGTTTTTTATTTTGGGCTGATGCTCGAATTTGGTGGGAATTGATGGAAGAGACTCATGACACGGCAACCATGACTTGGGGAGATTTTAGAAGAGTGTTTGAGACCGAGTATCGAACAGTTGACCGGGTCCATGAGAAAATACAAGCGTTTATTAATCTGAAGCAAGGGATGAGTACAGTGAAGGAGTATTCAATTCGGTTCAACTCTCTCGCGAGGTTTGCACCTGGGATAGTGAGTACACCCGAGTTGAGAAGAGAGAAATTTGTCCTCGGGTTGAGGTCCGAAATAGCCCGCGATGTTATGATAGGAGCAGAGCCCCCACATACCTATATGGAAGCATTAGATCAGGCTTTGAGAGCAGAAATTTATGTGAACAAGATGAGTTCAGAAGGGCCATCCATGATAGTATAGAATGAACCGCCCCCTGCCCCGCAGAAAGAAAGAGTTGAGATTGGAAGAGGTAGAGACATGAGGAACAAGAAGAGGTTCCAACAAAAGAAGAACAGGGGCGATTGGCAGAGTAAACGGCCTAGAACAGCTGGAGTCACTCTGTGCCCTAAGTGTGGGAAAAATCATTTGGGGGAGTGTCTAAAAGAGTTCGGTCCGAATATCTGTTATAGGTGTCGTCAGCCAGGGCACCTAATGAGAGATTGTAAAGCTCTTCCTCCACCAGCAGCACAGGCCCCTAGAGGCACGAATGCCAGGGTGTTTACCGTGGCACAGGGTGAGGTAGAGGCCAGTCCTTCAGCTGTAACTGGTCAGTTATTCTTTCATACATTTCCTCTTTATGCTTTAATAGATTCTGGAGCCACGCATTCCTTTATGTCTCATGGGATGATAGAAAGATTGGGTCTGAAGCCTGTTGTGGTAGATCAACCCATTAGGATAGAGTTACCCGATGGGATTAGTGTTTTGACCCGTGAGATGCTCCCAGGAGAGTCTGTAATGATTCATGGAAGAGAACTGTTAGTTGATCTAATAGTGTTTGATATGCCTGATTTTGATGTGATATTGGGGATGGATTTTCTAGGGAAGTATGGAGTAGAAATTGACTGTCGGAAGAAGAAAGCAAGGTTTAATCTTGATAGTGGAGATAAGTTTAGCTTCGGTGAGGGCCATCAATTAAGTATGTTGATCAGTAGCTTGAAAGCTAGGAAGATGCTGAGAAAGGGCTGTTCAGGATATATTGCTCATGTAGTGCAGAGTGGTGATGTTCCTCAGCCAGAAATTCAGAGGGTGCCTATAGTTTGAGAATTTCTGGATGTGTTTCCCGAAGAGTTACCGGGTTTACTTCCAGAGAGAGAGGTTGAGTTTAGTATTGAACTAGCACCCGGGACAGCACCAATATCAAGAGCCCCTTATCGAATGGCCCCTGCCGAGCTTCAAGAATTGAAGAATCAACTCCAAGAGCTTTTAGATAAAGGTTTTATCCGACCAAGTCATTCCCCCTGGGGAGCTCCAATTCTTTTTGTGAAGAAGAAAGATGGATCGTTACGGATGTGTCTAGATTACAGAGAGTGAATAAGGTGACAGTGAAGAATAAATACCCACTACCTCGGATGAGATTTATTTGATCAATTAAAGGGAGCGGCAGTGTTCTCGAAAATTGATTTAGGTCAGGGTACCACAAGTGAGAGTGGTTGAACAAGATATACGAAGACCGCTTTCGTACAAGGTATGGGCATTATGAGTTTGTAGTGATTCCTTTTGGGTTGACGAACGCCCCATCAGTGTTTATGGACTTGATGAACCGGGTTCTTCATGATGCTTGGATCAATCATTGTGGTTTTCATTGATGATATCCTGGTTTACTCTAAGTCGAGAGAAGAGCATGAGGGCATTTAAGACTGCACTACAACGATTGAGAGAAAAGAAGTTGTATGTTAAGTTTTCAAGTGTGAATTCTGGTTGAATCAAGTTGTTTTAGGCCATACTGTTCTCATGAAGGGATTTCGGTGGACCCTAGTAAGGTAGAGCAACTTGAGTGGCAAAGGCCGAAATTGGTAAAAGAAGTGAGAAGTTTCTTGGGGCTAGCAGGTTATACCAGCTTCGTAGCAGGGTTTGCCCAGTTGGCTAAGCCATTGACAGCTCTTACCAAGCGAGAATTCCTTTTATATGTCAACGGCTTGTGAAAGGAGTTTTCACGAGGTAAAGAAAAAATGACATCAGCTCCTTGTTAGTGTTGCCTCAGAGGGGGTAGATTATGATATTTTTACAGATGCCTCACTACAAGGACTGGGTGCTGTATTGATGCAGTTAGGTAGGGTGATAGCTTATGCTTCTCGCAATGAAAGAGTACGAGACAAGATACCCTAAGCATGATTTAGAGTGGCAGCGGTAGTCTTTGCCTTGAAAATCTGGAGCATTATCTATATGGGTGCAAAGAGTTCTACACAGACCATAAGACTTGAAATATTTCTTTACTCAGAATGAGCTGAATATGAGCAGAGAAGTGGCTAGAGCTAGTTAAAGACTATGAATGTGGAGATTAAATATCAGCCAGGAAAGCTAATGTCGTAGCCGATGCATTAGTAGAAAGGCTCATTTATCCCGACTCACTAGTCAAGAGAGCTAATAGATGAGTGTTGTAAAGAACAAATTGAAGTGGTTCAAGGAGGGATTGCCAGGTTAGAATTCAGTCCACCCTATTGGACGAAATTAGAGAAAAGCAAGTGGTTGATAAGTGGTGTCAGGAGTTATTGCAAAGAGTGCATAAGAATGAGAGACCAGAGTTCCATGGTAGAGGGCGTCCTCCGTTTAGGGATCGGTTGTGCATCCCTCAGGTAAGGAGTTGAGAAGAGAATTTTATGGAAGCTCATGACACACCCTACACTGCTCATCCCGAGAGCAACCAAGATGTACCAAGATCTAAAGAAAGGCTACTGGTGGCAGGTATGAAGAATGATTGCGGAGTTTGTAGCTAAATGCTGGTTTGTCAACAAGTAAAGCAGAACACCAAAGGCCATCAGGATTGCTTCAACCACTTAGTTCCTGAGTGGAAATGGGAGAGTATCTCAATGGATTTTATTGTAGGTCTCCCTAGAGTTCAGAGAGGTTTTAATGCCATTTGGGTGATTGTGGATAGATATGACAAAATCAGCCCATTTCCTTCTGGTGAAAGAAAGCACTACTTCAAATCAGCTAGCCCAGATTTATATCGAGAGAGATAGTGAAACTTCATGGGGTACCAAGACGATAATCTCAGACAGAGATTCTAGATTTGTTCCATTTTTGGCTGAGCTTACAGAGGAACCTAGGTACTAGATTGGTTTTAGCACCGCTTACCATCCTCAAACGATGGACAAACAGAGAGAACAAATCAAGTGCTTGAGGATATGTTGCAAGTTTGCTGTATGGATTATAAGTATCTGGCATGAGATGCTGCCCTTAATGGAGTTGCTTACAATAACAGTTATCAATCGACGATTAAGATGGCACCGTATGAGGCCTTCTATGGTAGACGATGTAGGTCTCCACTACATTGGGATGAGATAGGTGAGAAGGATGAGCTGAAATTAGCATTGGGCAGAGATGACTCCGAAAAATGATGAAGATGTGAAGCTATTAGAAGCAGAATGCAAAAAGCCCAAGATAGACAAAAAAGTTATGCCCATGAAGAGAAAGGAAGTTGAATTCAAATGGGTGATAAAGTTTTCTTGAAAGTTTCCCCCTTAAGGGGTAATGCGGTTTGGAAATAAAGGGAAGCTAGCACCGAGATTTGTTGGTCCATTTGAAGTGTTGCAACGAGTGGGGAAGGTAGCCTAAGATGGCACTACCACCTAGCATGGACAAAGTGCATGATGTTTTCCATATCTCGATGTTACGGAAATATGTAAGTGATCCCTCCCATGTGTTGAATATAGAGAATGTAATTGGGGAAGGGAATCTTGTACGAGGAGGTCCAATTCAGATTTTGGACCAGAAGATTAAAGAGCTCCGGAATAAGAGTATTCCTTTAGTGAAAGTCCTTTGGAGAAACCACAAGGTTGAAAAGCTACTTGGGAGAAAGAGCAAGACATGCAAAGCCGTTACCCGGAGTGTTTGTCTGAATTTGGGGACGAAATTCTTTTAAGGAGGGGAGAATTGTAACACCCCACTTGGTACGTAGTTAAGATTGATGAATGGTTCGAATGTTTATTGATTATCCTTAGTTGAGTTTGCATGTTTTAATATTGTTTGGTTATCTTGGATGAAAAGGTGTATTGGTTTGGTTGAGTGTTTTTCTGAAGGTTAGTATGACTTGGCAAAATTTTAGGGTTACAGTCTTGTCGGGGCCAGAAGATTTGTCGCTGCGGCGAGAGGAGTGCTCTACCCAGGTGGCCTCTGTGAGTTTTTGCCGAGGGCGAAGAAAATAGCTTCGCCGCGGCGAAGACCCGCTGGATCCCCTTGAGTTTTTGAGATTTCTTTTTTTGAGATCAATGACCATTCTACCCCTTTTAGCAGGAAAAGTGGGGAGTGAATTGTAAGGAAAATTCTGGAGAATAGTTTGATTGGGTTTGTGTTTGCAAGAATGAAAGGTCTTAAATGGAATTTCAAAGAGAGAGTAAGGGTATTTTGGGAAAGAGTGGAGAAAAATATGTGATTTTAAGGGTTAGCTTTAGAAACCCCTTCATTTTGTTTCTCACCACCGCCTCTTCATCCTTATTTTCTCAATTTTTCATCAAGATTCCAAGGATCCTTGAAGAGCTTGACAGAATTGTTACAAATTGATCTAAGCACTAAAAGTGTAATAATTACTCTAGAAGACTTTTTATTTGTGGAAAGAATGGGATCCTTATTAAGTTTTGTATTGAAGGTTAAGAGAAAGTGTCAAGCCATCAAGAGTGGGAGTTTAAGTGGGTTCTACTTGTGTCCAAGGTAAGTAATTCACCTAAGTTGTGATTTACTTGATTGAATGATGTGTAGAGAGTTAGATCTATGATTAATGCTTGAATTTTTATGTGAAATGAGTTGATGAATTCATGAATGAGTTCAATGTTGTTATATGAAGGAATTTTACCACTGAGAAGGTGGATTGTGTTGTTAAATTTTGGTAGAGTATGGGTAGAATTAGAGAAATTGAGAGGAATTTTTGAAGTGTGTTTTTCTTTGCAGGATGTGTGATGATTTAAAGGAGTTGAACTCAATTTTGGATGGTTAAGAAAGAAATATGATTAAAGTTAGAATAGAGTTTATGTATGCACACATATTGTTTGATGAAATGCCTAAAAGAAGCATAAGTAGAACTAGAGAAACTTACTTTATGAACATAGCATATTTGCATTCATGAATGAATATGAAGGATTTTAGGCATGAGTCATCCATATGCATATGTTTAATTGAGTAATCACATGAGAAATGAGAAAGAAACACTCTATGAATAGAGATAAAGAAAAGAACAAATTCTCTTAGAGTAAAGAGAAAGAAAGAACTAGCACTAGAAGATAAAATGATTATTAAGTGCTATAGAAAAGAGAAGAAACTAGGTTGTGCGATGGGAACTCGTGAGTATAGAGTTACCCTCATGTAAACGTTATGAGAAAGAACGGTCTGCCATGAGAGAGCGGAATGGTGTAAATCGCTATGAGAAGGAGCGATGTCCGCCATGAGAGAGTGGAATGCATGTGATCCGTTATGAGGAAGACAGACTCCGCCATGAGAGAGCGGAATACATGTAAACCGCTATGAGAGAGAGAGCGGTTTCCGCCATGAGAAAGCGGATGAGATTGAGAAAAAGAAAAGAATAGAAAAGAAAGAAAAAGAAAGAAATGAGAATTTGAATTAGAAATTGATAAGAATACAACGAGAATTGAGAGTAATGCACGGGGATGATAGCGTAAGAGAATGTTTTACTTACTGGCATCTTTGTGCTCACTCCGTTGTTTTCTTTGTTGTACAAGGAATAGGTGAGGACTTGGTCAGATGGACGTCGGCAAGCGGGGAGACTTGGCTACACTGTCCCTTGTTCGTTTTGTTTTGAAAGTCCTTGTACATATGATGTTTTGTTTTGTAAAGAATGTGATTATTAAGTAAAGAAATTTTTGGGCCCAACCTTGATAAATATGCTACTTTTTATTAATCGATATTACTAATTTGGTAGAAAGAAGTAGTTGTTACAGCAATTATGCATTATAGAATGCAAAATGTCTCTCTACCATCTACAAACTCACCAAAGTAACACATAATCATTCTCATACATGCACTTCTTTGGCATTTCATCAAACAATTCATGTGCACAAATCAACACTAATTGGCTACACTTCTATCTCTATTTAGGCCACAAAAAATTGGAATAAACTCCATAATTAACACCAAATTGCCCAAAATACACAATTCAAAATTTTCACTTCAATTCTTCCAAATCTCATCCAAACCTTCATCAAATAACAACTACACCAACACAACTTCTATGGATAGGTTCTAATCATATTCACCACAAATCCATCAACAATTTTACATATAACGCATATATATGCATAAAGAAAGTTCTCTACACAACATAACTTAAATCATACTTAGGGTAGGATTTCCTTACCTGTGCTGAGAATCCCTAGAATCTCTCTTTCTTTGGTAGACTTGTTCTTTCTCTAAAACCCTAAGCATAAACACTATAAGAATTCAACACTTTAAAAATTAATCTCACATCTATTGCAAGAATTCTTACCTTTGGGTGCTTATGATCAAATCTCTACCAAAATCCAACCAAAAGCCCTCTAAAATCCCTTGGAAATTTGTTGAAGAGATGAGAGAAATTGAGAGTGAAGTGGCGTGACAGGGAATAGAGAATGATAGGGTTTTTTTACTTGAACTCTTAATATCTCATATTAATATGCATACTTTCCCATTTTGCCCATGCATTTTCTTTGAAATTCCATCTATGTCCCTTAGTTAATTACCATATGCCCTCATTTTTAATACATTCTCCATGAAATTCTACCTCTTTTTACTCCCCACTTTTTCAACTAATTTTGAGTGAAAAGACCATTTTACCCTTAATGCAAGTTTAAGGCATTTTCTTCACATTTTCTCAAAATAACTTTAGCAAAAAAATCAACTAAAGGTATAAGAGCATAAATTAAATTACGTACCTCCATGTGGGCGTTACATGGCGTGAATGGAAGGGGAAGAGTGGCTAGGGTTTCATTCTTGAACT